AACTTGCCACTTTCTTCTTCAATTTCACCCTCCCCCCACAAAACCTTAACGATAATATACTTACATTTACTAGCATTAGCGCACTTTCCTTCAATTCTCCAGGCAAACTTGTTCCGCAAAAATTTTCTTGAAAATCTTTTTTAAGCGCTTCTCTAAAGTAGATATGCCTCCAAGAAGAAGCCATTTTATGTCTGAAATATTTATTTTCAATATTCCGTGAAATGTACTTGTTTACATGTATGTAGTCCCGATTTCTAGATTAATTAGGTTTTATAATTTTCAAAAACTTAAACAAAACAAAACTCAGGGGCGTAGGGGAGGTTTAGCCTAAGGGGGTGAACTTTTGGCTAGCTTACGAATTTTTTTGTGCATCCCCCCCCCAAAAAAAACGTATAAAGAAAAAAATTTTAGTTTAAGATATAGATTAATTTACTGCTAGTCATCTGACCATAATTACGAATCATACCATTATAAAATCTGGTAGTAAAAGAGCAAAAAACTTTTAAAAAATATGTTTTACTTTTTTTGAGTTTATCAAATATCATTAATCATATCAATATCAATCATATCATGACTAGATTACAGACAGACAGAGACAGTATTATTTAAAGCTTTTCATCGATACCTAAATCTGAATTTTGTGAGAGAAGATATGTCTCAAAACATTGTTGATAAAATGTTCTCAAATTTCCCTATATAAATATTCTCTAACCAATAAATAGGTCCGGTGGGTGATGTTTGCATCTACATTATACATATTGATGATCAAGACTGTTCAATCCACGGGTTAAAATAATAAAAATAAAAGAAATTTTGGTAAAAAGTTATGGAAACTTGCAGCTGTTTTGAACCAATAAAAAACAGGTTAAAAGTAGCATTCCATTAAAAAGATACGGCCTTAGAGTTAACAAAAAAATAATTAAAAGCTTTAATAATACTGCCTCCAAATTAAAGAACTCTTGGTTTGTTTGCAACAAATATTTTTAATATTTCCTCATTGGAAACCTGGTCCAGGATACCGGAGTGCATGTGCATCTAGGGATGTTAACGTTTTCATTTTTTGGAAAAACGATCGTTTCGTTATGAAAACGACGACGAAAAATCGAAAACGAAACGATCGTTTTTCAAAACGCTAGTTTTTAAAAATGATCGTTTTATAAAATTTGTCGTTTCGTTAACGATCGTTAACGACGCACTTCTTCAACGATCGTTAACAACGAACCTTCGTTAACGACGACCCTTCGTTAACGATCGTTAACGACGACCCTTCGTTAACGATCGTTAACGACGAGCCTTCGTTAACGACAACCCTTCGTTAACGATCGTTAATGACGACCCGTGATCGTTAACGAAGAGAGGAAACCGACCTGAAGGGCATCTGTACTTATCATTGAGTAGTTTTTAAGAAAATATCAAGAAGTTTTAACTCCCCCACAACTGTTAAACTTCATATAAGACGACTGGATGTATGGATCAATATAATAAATCAAAACGAGTCAGACTTAATCTATGGCGACATGCCATGCTTAAAATAATGGCGACACGTTAAACTTAAAACAGTGACAGCATGTCATGCTTAAAATAATAGCGACAAGTCAGACTTAAAATGATGGCAACACGCCAACTAAATCAATGGCGACAAGAAAACTGGGTATATGGCCCAATCTAATCTATCACAACAAGTCAAACATAATCTATGGCTAAATGCCAGCTATAATCTGTGGCGGTGCGCCATACATTCTGATCTAGGCGACTCCCCAAACATTTTCATTGCCGGCAAGCAAGAAATAATCTTGCCAAACATAAAACAATGGCGACAAGCCAGGCATTGAATATTGTCGACACACCAGGCNTATCAGGGTGGTGTATTTTTCGACCTACGCAAATCCGCTATACTCCACTTCTGACCTACACCAAATCCGCTGTACTACACATGGTTTTAAAGCTCCCAAGCCTGTCCTAACCGCGGCGCTCGGCCCCCTAGCCTGTCCTAGCCGCAGCGCTCGGCCCAGAAATTGTCTTTACCTAACCTAACCCTCAAATAATACAAAAATAAACAGCTGGCGTATGGTCCGATATTGCAATAGGTCGGAAGGTTAGTAGTTCGGTTAAGTTCAGTAGGGGGGATGTTGCGTATAGACGATGTAACATTACCATTTAAGAGAAATAAAAAGTTTAATAAGGATGAAAAAATTAAAAAGTCGAGCAAAGTATCAATCATGTTGGTATACCTTTAATTTTTCAAACTTACTAAATGGTTTAGACTTTTTTTTTACTAAACCGAACAATTTTTCTAAATGATCATTCACCATGGCAGTATTAGAAATTTGCAATTAATCTGTTATGGAATTAATGCCCCAGCCCTGTATTTATGAATTTACCTGAAAACTTTTTATAGCTAATTTCTCCGTTCCTCTCAGGCTTAACTCTGCTCAAAATATCGTCGTTCTGATACAAAATTAATTATGAGTTTAATAAACCTCGGGATTAAAATAAATAAAATAGTTTAAACTTTGTTTAAAAACAACTGTGAACGAAAGTTCAAGATTTTTTCCCCATTTGTATTGATTTTCATGTTAATATTGTATATTTTGAACTAGGCGAACAGCCACGACATTGAGAATCAATCCATGGTCATTTTAATAAAAACAGAGAAAGGTTATAATAAATGTCATTCAATAACTATAAAAAGAACTTTTAACATTTTCATATTAAATACGAAATTGTAATTATTTCTCAGTTTTCTTCATTTTCCTTCATTTTTTCGTCTTAGAAAGAAATGCTGTAGAGATAACCTAGATTTCTGTCGAAAAATTAGTTATTGGTAAATGTGGCCGTGGGTTCTCGAAAAACTTAAAATTGGGATTTTGCAGCACAGACTAACAAGGAACTTTAAATTTAAAAAGATAGCGATCTCACTCAGTGTTGGGGGGTTCACAATGAAATCCTTAAAAACTTGATCTGGGTCAAAATAAAAAAATGTCAATATTATCCTCAGTATTGCCTAATTATGTCCAGGGATGTTAACGTTTTCATTTTTCAGAAAAACGATCGTTTCGTTATGAAAACGACGACGAAAAATCGAAAACGAAACGATCGTTTTTAAAAACGATAGTTTTTTTTAAAAGTTCGTTTTTAAAACGATCGTTTTTCAAGACGATCGTTTTTATAAAATTCGTCGTTACGTTAACGATCGTTAACGACGACCCTTCGTTAACGATCGTTAACGACGGACCTTTGTTAACGATAGTTAACGACAACCCTTCGTTAACGACAACCTTCATTAACGACGACCCTTCGTTAACAACAACCCTTTGTTAACGATCGTTAACGACGACCCCTTCGTTAACGATCGTTAACTAAGAGATGAAACCGACCTGAAGGGCATCTGTACTTATCATTGAGTAGTTTTCAAGAAAATATCAAGGAGTTTTAACTCCCCAACAACTGTTAAACTTCATGTAAGACGATATTCAATAAAGTTGCATGTAATTATTTCCAAAAACGACCGTTTTGATAAAGTTCGCCGTTTCGTTAACGATCGTTAACATAATTGTCAATAAAATTTTTGTTTCAAAAACGATCATTTTTTTAAAAACAATCGTATAAAAACGGTCGCAAATCGCTCTAATAAAACGATCATTTTCAAAAACCGATCGCTTTTCATTTTCTGAAAGTTCAAAACGAGTGAGTCGTTTACAAAAACGATTAACAACCCTAATTATGTCTGAAGAGTAGTGTTTTGATTCAAGTCCCTCCCTCCCACCCCATAATCCGCCTCTGTGGCCTATTCTACAATTAACATAATAACTTTTTATGAATATACAATATTTATTTGTTTTAATTAGGTAGTCCGACCAATCACTGTTTTATAAACATTTAATAAAATTTACAATCACACACAATAAAGACAAAACAGTTTTTTGTAAAAAATATAGAGAAATTTATCATACAAAAAGTCTGGGTATAACTATTATTATAAAAATTTACAAAACCCTTAGAAATACTTGTTATAAAAAATGGGCTTAGAGAATTATGTTTGTTTTCAATGTTCAATTTTTTAATTTGAAAAGTTTCAGTGCTTGTATATTGATAAAGAGCTATAGCTGTACGATGCATTTAACAGTTTAAATAATTAGGTCTCCGACGTGACTAGGCATTATTTAATACTCTAATTTATAAAAATATTTATTGTTTTACAAAAGTCAATTTTAATTGTTTTCATTTAAAAAAAAGAGGTAAAAAAGTGAAATATTTTTAAACTTACTATTCTAGTCTTCTGAAAAATACAATACTAAACTTACATTACATTTTTTTGTGTACTGGAGCAAAAATCTGCTTATTGTACTTTCAATGTAACTGGGGTCCATTATATACATTTTTATGAATTTCCGCTCAGATAAAACTTTGCTTTCAAGTAGTTTTCTTGTTTTTACATATTCGGATATATGTTTTTTTCTGAATTTACTATAATATTAATATTCGATTAAGAATATTAAAGCTCTGACCAGGGGGATGATAGTTCTCTACCTGTGTGCTCAGTTAGCTGTACTGTACACTTACAACTGTTTACTTATATTAATATACTATAGGTTAGGCCAGGATCTCTTTATAATAAACAAATATGCAGTACGCTCTCGGTTTAGTTTATGGCCTATAAAATTAGTGAACATAATCCCTCTATACTCTATAACCTCGTTGATTAGCGTACATCATCACTCTATACTCTATAACCTCGTTGGTTCTGACCGTTAAATTGCTGCAATCACCACTCACCAGTAAACAGAAATAACGATGTCAAGCGAAAAATATCTTCAAAATCTAATTTTTTCATTAAATCGAATATTGTGGAATAGATTGAAACATAAAGTCAAAGAAATATTAAAATTAGAAAGAAAGAAAAAAGTTTAAATTTTACAAACAGACAATAAACTACCTGAACTAAATTCAAAATATACAATACATTGTACACCAATCTTTGTCACAAAATACATAATACATATAAGCAAAGTTTTTTCTTTTTGATTTTGAATTAAAACATTTCATAATTTCGACACCTTCCGAACGACTCGTACAGGTCCAAATCCGGTTTCGGGAAAAAACCTAAAAAATAAATCATCAACATTTTGGAACAAAATAAAATAAAATAACTTTGACTTTATTTTACAAGATGTTCAGGGAAAATTAATATAATTTCATTCTTAATTAACAACTATATATCCTTAAAACGTTTATATGCGCATAATGTTGGAGATATCCTAGTAAATTGTTAAATGAAAATTGATAATTTTCCAATGCTGTTTCTCTTTAGCACATTTTTTCCAAAAACGATATTTTCCTTGTTAATTGTAAATGTTTTAAAATTATTTCTACATAATCTTTTGTGGCAAGTATAATATTGTTAAAATACATTTAACCTTCATTTAATAAATATTTGATTTGATTTGATTAAAAGCCCTAACAACAAAAACATAATTACAAAATTTTGTAAAACGCATCTTTTATGTACAGATTCTTTTTCTAAATTAAATCAAAAACCTTGATTAATAAATTATTAATACTGAAAGATAGATTAATAGACTTATGGATCGACAGATCGATAGATAGATCAATAGACAGATGGATAGACAGAAGTATAGACAGCATGGATAGAGAGATGGATAGACAGATGGATAGACATGATGGACAGAAAGATGGATAGACAGATCGATAGATAGATGGATAGACAGATGGATTGACAGATGGATAGACAGATGGATAGACAGATGGATAGACAAATGCAGAGACAGATGGATAGACATGATGGACAGATCGATAGACAGATCGATAGACAGATAGATTGATGAGCAGATATATAATTTAAGCGGTTATAGGAAATCTTTAAGAAAAAACCACAGCTAATTAGATACCTTAAATAAACCCCCCACAGTCTCACAGAGACATGAAACCCCGCCCTGTTTTTTTTTGTCCTGCCCCATAGCTTTCTTCCTCGCCCCACCACCTTTCTCCATTGCCCCACCCCCTTTCTCCCACGCTCCACCCCCTTTCTTCCTCGCCCCGCCCCTTTCTTCCTCGCCCCACCCCATTCTCCCTCGCCCCACCCCCTTTCTCACTCGTCCCGCCCCTTTTACTGACCCGGGGACCAGGTGTCCCCCATTATATTCCAGAGAACAGCAAACCCAAGCAAACCAAAGAACACAATCAAACTGTGAATAATTACATTCGAAATATATTATTTTAAATAAATATTTTATTTGTTCGCAAAATTTTCACAAAATCGGGAAAACTTAAATTAAAAATCTTCAGGTTGTCCTGAAAATTGTGTGACGAGCAAGAAACATAATTCAGGCAATAAATAGTAAAAAATATGAAAAGCTGTTTAAAATATAAAATAACTGTAAAAATTATAGATCAAATATAAGTAAACTATGGATTTTTAAAAATTAGACATAACATAACGTTATTACATCGACGAAAATGTATTGTTCTTGTAAAAAGTGTAAAAATTGTAAATATTGTAAAAATATTTTCGAATATTAAATTCCCTGATTATTTGAACTATTATTTCCCAGTCTCTGACTCTCCTACAGAAAAGTGCTCCTTTAAAGGAG